CACACTGATCCTATAAGAAGAGAATGTAGGAGGTACCCTTGAAGAAATTGGTATAGGAGACCAGTTCCAGAACATAACTCCAGGAGCACAGACACTGAGATCAATAATTAATAAGTGGGACCTGCTCTAACTGAGAAGCTTATGTAAGGCAAAGATCACAGTGGACAATACCAAATGGTAGCCCACAGACTGGGAAATTATTTTTACCAATCCTACATTTGACAAAGAGCTGATCTCCAAAATATACTAAGAACTCAAAAAACTAGCCAACAAAACACCAAATAACCCTATTAAAAAATGGGGTGCAGAACTGAAGAAAGAATTCTCAACAGAGGAAATCAAAAAGGCTGAAAGACACTTAATAAAGAGCTCCACATCCTTAGCTATCAGGGAAATGGAAATCAAAACAACTTTGAGATATCATCTTACTCCTGCCAGAATGGCTAAAATTAGAAACACCAATGACAACTAATGCTGGAGTGGATTTGGAGAAAGGGGAACACTCCTCTAGTGTGCTGGTGGGAGTGCAAACTCGTACAGCCATTTGGGAGATAAGTATGGCAGTATGAACAGAGAGTTGACACACATCAGATATTTTTCTCTCTGGGATCTCATGTAACTGAACATCTTTTGGCTGAAGATCTTACCAAACATCCCCTTCCATGTGAATTTTCTCTAGCCCTCAGAGTTTATTGTTACATGAAAAGTGCACAACTTCAGCACACTGCTCACATACATGGGGTTTCTGTGAAGGGTGATTCATGATTTAAAAGGTACATATGAAGGCTTTAGTGTTTGATTCCTTCACAGAGTTTCCTCAATTATGTGTTATTTTATCACTTTTGAGAGTACAGTAGCCCATCACTCACCATGTTGTGCCTTTCTGTTTTCCCTTGCTCAAAGCACAGAACACAAAATGAGTGGTGCCAGATTCTCTCCAATCCAAGCCTGAAGCCTGGGACAGGAAAGGCCCTGCAATTGGCAGGTTGCTGAGGGCCCTGATTGGCTGATAAGGGTGGGTGACTGGAGCACCACCCAGATGGTTACAGTGGGCTTAAAGACACACCCCAGACAAAGGACCTTTTCAACATGAGCAGTGACATGATTTGTATAGCACTTGGCACTGACTACAAAGCAGGCGCTGCTCTCTTGCTGCACTCCATAGGCTTTTCCCCTTCTTCCTCCTGGGTACAAAGTGGCTAGCTAGCTTATACAGCCCACTAGACTTACTACTATGTGCATAGAGTAATTTTCTGTCAAAAAGCTGAGAGCCCAGAATGTTAACTACAAAGAGAGATTTGGGGATACAAAAAGTGGTGTTTGTTTTGTGGCATTAAACTGAGCTCAGTGTAAACACAATGAGGTTGTCACAACAGCCCAAGTGGGGACTGTGTAGCAATGGCTGAGAGGAATCTCGAATGGCTACCTGTCCAGAGCATCACACCACATGTGTTTATGTCTCCTGGGAAAAAATGGCCAGGTCCCTGCAGGCTCTTACTTGGTGGGTTGATTGGAATGGGTGCTGGGCGTATTTTGTGCTATGGCCATGATAACAATAATGCTTTTGATCCTGGGTGTTTTGGCCTGTAGCTCCACTGTTAGTTCAAAGATGCCTGGAGAACACTTAGATATAGTTTCAGAAACTGAAAGAGATACAGACTTAACAATCAGTAAATGGATGTTGTCCTCTGTGTCCTTACTTACAATACTCACAGTGCAGGTTGAGACTCCAGGTGTCAGCCCTAGGCCTGATAAATTAATATAACTTAAGCTTTTGAAATTCTCTCCCTAGAAGACCCTATGTGTCAATAGCCAACCCTCAGCAAAGCTGCTGTGGAATTTAGTAAAAGGAAAACAGTACAAGAGTTCTTAACAATATTGTTATAAGTTTATGACTATCCTCTAAAATTAGTAGATCAATGTAAGAGTTCTTATCAATGCTGTTAAAAGTTTACTGCTAAAAGACAATTACTTTTCTCTAAACTCAGTAAACCAAATCTCTGGTACACTGACCACAAGCAGGCAAAAATAAGTGTTTTTTTTTGATCTCATGCTTCAAAGGAATTACTGATATTTTTATAATATGTCTGTAAATTGCGACCAAAGATCTGTTCCTTGAACTTTCTGTATAAATACCCAATACTCTAAAGTAAAAATAGCAGCAGTTGCAAATAGCAGCATCCTCGAGTGTGTTAGTGTCTGTCTGTCAAACCAAAGCCACTCCTGACCTGGTCATCTGAGTTTTAGTCCCCATGCAGACCCATAACCCACTGACCAGTCTGTAGAATGAGGTGTTATTGGACAGGTTGTACAGGAACTTCCAACTGTCAGGAAATAAAAGCAGGTACCAGATCAAAAAGATGATAATTTTCTTTCTCTCATCAGAAAGCTTGGTCATTGCTCTATAACTGTAGGAGTTTTATTCCTGAACCTCATAAAAACCACTTAACAAACACAAAATTATAAAAAGACTATTCTTCATGGAAAGTTGAAAATTTAGAGAGGAATGGAGCTAGGAAGATTTTTGTGTATGACCACTACTGCTAGCCAGCACATCTTACTCAGTGAGCAGTTTTAAACAATCTGCATTATTCAAGAATTCAAGCTTTGTAAGACCCTCAGAATGAGGAGTCTCCCAGTTTCCGTCAGTATCCCCAAGAACTCAATGTCCAGTCCAGTTGCTGCAACATGCAAGAGGCTTTAATGAACAGGAAACATTTGTGCAAAGGGGCCCCTCCAGCATGCAGACTAGTGAGAAGCCATCTCCCCCCTCCACCGGGCACAGGTGTTTTTAAAGGCAAAACCCCCAAGCTTAGGGAGGGGGTGGGACCCTCTGTCCATTGAGTACATGACCCTTTGAGGCTGGTCTCCCTATTAGGGTCAACAGACCTTAGGGCCTCAGGGTGTGCTAATTAATCTTGTCTGGGCAAACCGGAGGTGCAGTTATCTCTTTGCTTCTTAAGGACCCCATTCACCACCTGCTGACTCACAAGAAAGGAGGGGCAGTGTAAATTCTTGGAATCTTGTTTTCTCAGGTCCTTGTGAGGGGAAGTTAGCAGATTCCAAGGAACAGATATTGCTAGGGGTTAACTTTCCAGGTTAGTATGTCCTTCATTTAAAGTGGGGCGTTTCTCTAACTTTACTTTTTTGTCTTTCACGCCCTGTATCTTATCTCTAGAGAGTAAAGTTCTAGTAATCTGATCTACAAAGCACCCCACCCAGAACCCGCACTTTCCCCACCCTGTGTCCTACTGCGCCCACTGCTCCACTGGTCTGGTTGAGCACTGGGACAGAGAGCGGGTCAAAAAAAAACACCTCCACCTCCGGAAAATTTCTTGGACCTGCTTTGAAAATACTGGACCCATCTATCCCGCTGGAGCAACCAGAGTGCCCGCCTGCCTGATGTTTGTCCGTCATTACTGAGGCTCTGCCAGGGGAGAGACCTCCTAGAGTGACTGGAACAGACAGAGTTACAGACATTGAGCACCTCTCACAACTCTGTCCCCAGGAACTCCTTCTCAAACACACGGTTCCGGGACTGTCCCCTGCACCGCTCACAAGCGGCTGCGATCTCAGGACTTCCGCCTTCCGGTCACGAACTAAAGCTTCCGGTTCGTGGCTGTCAGTGTCCCCGGAAGACACACATGGAAAACATGCTTCTAGTTCCACCCGGCCAAACTGACACACGATTTCCGCTTGTGAACCAAGGACGTCAGGCTTCCAGTCACTGACTTGAGCTTCACACAAAATGGTCCCCAGGAAAGGTTGCAACGAAGAGATGCACAACTTGAGTTCCACCCGTGAAGTAAACAGGACGGAGTGCGCTGCGGCCTGAGTTCCGCTTTCGGCACATTACTTCCGCTTACGGATGGTGCAGCATGCGATTCCCTGCCCACCGGGCGGCGATTAAATCGGATCCGCTTTCGGCCCAGGAAGGGAATTGATCGCATCGGACATTGCGGGCCCGATAGGAAACGCCTTAAGGGACGGGACTAACAGGTCCAAGTGAACAGGTCAGAAACGGCTGATTCCGACCGCAAAAGAGGCAGCACAGAGCATATTCCCTGTCACTCATCGAGGCGGTAGGTGGGACTTCCGGGTGCGGCGAACAGGGCAGAAACAGAGATCGCAACCCTAGGTCCGTGCACCCCTCTGGTTTTCCCTGTTTCCCTGTTTATGCCACGGTTGGCAGCAGGGTTCCTGTTGCCGGGGAAACCGGGTTGGGACTTCCTGCAACATGGTAAATCGGGGCGGGACTTCTGCGTGGAAGCTTTGACCAGGAATTAATGACTTAGAGAGGTTCCCAGGGGATGGGCGGTGTCACGGGAGCCGTGATGTCAGAGGAGTTACAGGCGTGGCCTGTAGGGCACACAGCTGTCAATCAAACACCTGTCATTCAGTCATTCATTCACTCATTCATTCAGTCATTCACTCAGCCACTCATTCATTCAATCACTCATTCATTCAGTCAGCATTAATTCATTTCTCAGTCTTCACTCTTCATTCAGTCATTCATTCAATCATTCATTCATGTAGTCATTCATTCATTGATTCAGTCATTAATTAGTTCATTCAGTCATTCATTCACTCATTCAGTCAAAGGTCAGTCATTCATGAAGTAATTCAGTCATTTCAGTCATTCATTCATTAGCTCATTCATTCATTCATACATTCATTCATTTACTCATCCATTCAGTCATTAACTCATTAATTCATTGTACAATCATTCATTCATTCAATCACTTCCTGTGTGTGCTGGAGGCGGGACTTGCGGTCCCTGAGGCTAAGGCTCTGACATAGACAGGCAGTAGGCAGGATTTCCTGTTTCCTTTTACCTACACTGTAGCCCATGGTCATCTTGAACCCCGCCGTCTTTTTTGCACACCCAGGGGCAGGAAATAAGTCCCATCATCTCAGAGGAACCGGAATTGGTTGTCTCAAGCCGGAAGTGGACAATTTCTGGTCCCTCCCAGAACGGAAGTGAACCCCCCAGACCGGAAATGTGCGATCCTTTCAACATGGAGCTGGTTCCACTCACCAGGCTGCTGCAGGGGAAGAGGGTGGTGCTGGCGAGCAGCTCCCCCAGGAGGCGGGACATCCTGTCCTCCATGGTGACTTCCAGGGGCAGGGCCTGCTCTGGGATTGTCAGCTGTGACTTCCAGGGGTGGGGCCTGCTGTGACTGACAGCACACCACCCCCCCCCAGGGACTGCAGTTCGAGGTCGTACCCTCCCACTTCCAGGAGTCCCTGGAGAAGGTGAGATTTCTGGCTCCGCCCGAATATGCCCGGGAGACAGCAAAGCTGAAGGCTCTGGAGGTGGCGTCGGGGCTGTGCAGGGTGAGGATGGCCCCATCCCTTCTGGTCAGGTGGTAGGCCACACCCCTTCCTTTCGAGGCCCCGCCCACAAGCCTCACCCCGCCCTCTGCTCTGCAGGACCTGCACCCTCCTGATGTCATTATTGGAGCTGACACCATTGTGGTGAGTGAGGCCCTGCTCCTTCCGGCCCTGCCCGCCCTGCCCTTCACTGACCCGGCCCCTTGGCGTCTGGCTCCGCCCACTGCAGGCCGTGGATGGCGTCATCCTGGAGAAGCCAAAGGACAAGGATGATGCCTACAGGATGCTGCGCAGGTGGGCGGGGCCTGAAGGGGCGGGGCAGACCCACCCAGGGCAGAGTGGGCGGGGCCTCTGCATGGAGCACCAGCCTCTGCCCACCCCAGCCCTGCCCCTTGCCAACCACGCCCTGTCCCGCCTTCCCTGGCCCCGCCCAGGCTGAGTGGCCAGCAGCACAGTGTCATCACCGGTGTGGCCATCTTGAGGCCACTGTGGCGGAGGCAGCTTCAGGAGCCGAGTTCCACATGCCCAGAGGCCCCAGAGGCGGAAGGGGACCCAGAAGCAGAAGTGGAATTGTCACTGTTCCACGAAGAGACCCGTGTGACATTCTCGCGGCTATCGGAGCCACTGCTGTGCGAATACGTGGAGAGCGGGGAGCCTCTGTGAGTGGGTGCGGGGTGGGGTGGGTGGGGCCAGGAAACCTGGAAGTGAGGCCTGAAAAGGAAGAGTTGTCCCCGGCGGGCGTGGGTGTGGCTGAGCATGGCACCTGGTGTGACCTCGTCCCTGCCTTGCACCCAGGGACAAGGCTGGCGCCTACGGGCTTCAGGCGCGAGGTGGTGCCCTAGCAGAGCGCGTGGAAGGAGATTTCTTCAATGCCGTGGGGTTTCCACTCAACCGCTGCATTCGTGAGCTGGCTGCCATCTTCCCGGATGTGGGACCACAAGTCCCTGTCAGCCAGCGTCCGGCCACACCCCAATAATGAGGATTGTAGATGGAGAGTGAGTATGTGAGTGACTGTCTGGGCGGGAATTCTGGTGAGAGAGTGACTGAAGGGGCGGGTCTTCTGGTGAGTTTGTGAAGCAGTGACCCATTTCCCATGATGCCCTTGGTGCATTGTGTTTGATTGACAGAGCAAGGTTCCCTCAAGTGCATCACTTCCCAGTGCTAGGACACAGGACATGGGGTGAGGTGTGTGGAGGCAGGGTTAGGGGACAGGCCCACCGAGGGGAGTACACCTAAACCCGCCCCTGTGGCCCTGCCCCTCCTGATGCCCCACCCTCACCATCTCCATGGGCCCTGCCCTTGCCCCCACTGGGTCCTGCATGAGCAGCTTCACCATCAGATGCCTGTGATGGACATTTGACATCAGGAGCAGGGTCAGGGGAGGCCCCACCCCCTGCCCGCACTCTGATTTGCATATTCAAGAGCTGCCTGGAGACTCAGAAGACATCAAGTACAGAAACTGCTGGGGTTAATTTGCATGGCCACACCTCCAAATGACCTAACCTGCATGTATTTGCAGGTCAAAGTCCCAAACAGATGGGAATACTTGCATTCATTTGCATAGCAAAAGCATGCAAAGCAGCACAAATTTGCATATTAAAGTGTATTTCCGAAACTGGGGTTTGCTCATTTACATACTCAAATGTGAAGCCCCAATCAGACTTCCAGATTTTCAGGCACTGTGCTTATTTGCATAATCAAAATTACTAGTGCATCCTTTACATAACAGTTTAGTAGCCTCATTTGCATATTTAAATGGTGGCAGGTTTTTACTGCTCAGCATCAGGCCCCACCCCTTCAGCACTACCCTAGCTCACCTGTCCCCTACCCCGAGGTCACAGTGTCCAAGGTCACAATCAGTGACCCTCTCCAGGCCCTGCCCTCAACCACACCAGGCCCTTCCCCACTTTCTCTCCTAGGGTCCCCGAGGGCAGGGCCGGGGTCTGGGTATTACCTATGGTGCAGACAGGACTTGGTCCTGGCAGTGACATCACAGGAAATTGTGACTGTGAGCAGGAAGTGCCCTCCTTCCCTACCCTCACCATCTCCACCCCCAGCTGGGCATGGCAGGAGTCTCCTACCAAACTCTTAGGTTACCAAGCAGCAATGCTAGGACCCAGAGGGCGGTGGCCATGGTGAGCTGGTTATGAGAGTAAAAACCCTGAGGATGATGAGTGTGGCCCCTGTGACATCACAGAGCTCACCCCTCCAGGCCCTTGTAATGTCAGTCACCGCATACCCTGCCCCTCCAGCTGTCAATCACTACAGACCCCACTTCCTGCCTCTGGGCCATGAGGTCTGCTGAGGGTGTGATCTACAGGCTGACTGGGCAGGGACATGTCAGCTATCTTTATAAAGGTAGAGGGGCAGGCTGCATGCCGAGGGCTGGATTTCCTGGCAAGGGAAACCTGGCAGTAGAGACTCAGGTCAATCATCAAGGGTGGGGCATGACTTCTGCTCGCAGATCGCAGCCAAGGCTGACTTGAGCCAAGGCCATCAGGAACTTTTGTAACTGCTGTGGATGGGACTGCATTTCCCAGCATCCTATGCGGCCGCTTACTGCTTCGCTGCCCAGAGACTTCTGGGTTTGGATGTTCATGTCCAGGACTGCATTTCCTAGCATCCTGTGCAGTCGATTCCTGCCTTTATGCCCAGGGATTTCCGGTTTTTATCTGTGCTGGCCAGGGACTGTAGTTCCCAACATGCTCTGCGGTGGCTTTCTGTTTTTCAGCAATGAAACTTCCAGTTTGTAGTTTTTGGAGGCCCAGGACTCCATTTCCCAGCATTCTCTGTGGCCACTTCCTGCTTCCCTGCCCAGGGACTTCTTATTTTCATCTTTGGCAGCCAAGGACTATATTTCCCAGCATGATTTGTGTGGCTCTTCTATGAATGGACTTCCGGTTAAAAACTTTGGGGTCCAGAACTGCACTTCCCAGCATGCTGTGTGGCTGCTTCTTTCTTTTCTCCCCTGACCGGACTTCAAGGCCCCTAACTACAGTTCCCGGCATGTGCTGGGCTTGTTTCGATCTTTTCAGTTCCTAAACTTCTTCTGGTCTCTGAGGCTCCAGGACTCCATTTCCCAGCTTCCTGTGGTGCTGCGTCCTGTTTTTCAGTCCTGAAATTCCACCATTTAAAGGCACATAATAATTTAGAAATATTTGAGACTTAGAACAGTTGAATTTAAGTTGTATGAAGTTAGCTTACATTTACATAAAGTTAAGTTGAAATCGAATGTACAGATATATTATTCAGGACTGGGTAAATTGAGAAGGACAAGAGTGTGAAGCTATGTATAACATAGTCAGAGAAAAAAGATATTACAGACAAAGAATAAAAGGCAAACGGTAAATGACTTACAGGTTCTGTTGGTGGCAGAAGCTGGCTAGACTCTTTCTGCCTAGATGGCTGATGTAGCAGAAAGAAGAACCATGGTGGGTAAAGCTAGGCCACATGGTCAAGATGGTGGCTGCCATAAACATATTCCCAACAGCTGAAAGAAATCGTAAAGTTTTGAGATGTAATTTTGTCTTGAGCAGATGCTGCCTCAGCCCAGCCCACCATGCTGAGACAGGTTGCAGCTGGGGCAGGCAGGAGAATTTGAGCGTGCCAGGAAGAGAACCGAAACAAGTTTAGGGAAAGAGATTGTTTAGCAGAGATATATAAAAAAAAACGCCTTCCATCTATCTGTTCCCTGGCAGTAATTTGAAAGATCCCATAAAATATCGGGATCTAGAGAGCCGTTACGTGGCCAATTTGAATTATTTTCTAGGGGATATCTAGGCTACTTTTCAGTACAAAGGTAAATAAGTCTGGGTGACTTTACAAGTGGCATTAAGTGAAAGGGTTTTAAATTTTCTATCAGGCATCCCAGTGGAGTGGTGGGGGATATTTCCTTGGTCGGTTTATTCCCCATGGGTGGAGTGAAAGTGACCATGCAGTCTTGGAACTCATCAGCCCAAGAGTGTGGCCACATGATTCGAGAGAATGGCAGAGTGTTATTCGAAGCTCGTTAGCCCGAAAACGTTGCCAGGACCAACAGAGGCCGGAAATACTCAGCAGTCTGAGAGCAGAGCCGATATACCACACTGGGCAGTATGTCTTCAACCCATGGAATGTACCTGACCTTAAGGAATTGGGTTAAAATGTAAAAGGGTACCTTACCTAATTGAAGCCTGTGTGGGATGGTATTTCCAGTGAACGGGGGGGGGGGATGGTGGTGGAACGCTGGTATCTGAAACAAGATCCTGAGTGTTTCTGGCTGGCCGCCCACCAGCAGACAGCTGTCAGTGACCCTCATGTAGAGCCTGCCTGGGTTTCGGCACCAATGTTGTTCTTTTGCTGTACAGCTAATGCCTAAGAAACACAAACGCGAGACTCAGCGCCCACGTGGAGATTGTTGAGAGAAGGGAGAGAAAGAGGGGGTAGCTGGTGGCCAACTGAAAGCACGAGAGAAAGAGGGGGGTGTGGGGCACTTGCTTTAAAAGGGGAGGCTTGCACATGTGTAACTGAGTCCTCTGGCTGCCAGGTAAACCTTGAGCCGTCAGGTAAAGCTGATGTAGCAATGACATGGCCATGAGGGTCCCGCCCATCTTCAGTGGGGGGGGGGGGTCAAATGGCTGCTAGTTCCTAACAATCAGATTACTAAGTGGAGTCACTATTTAGCTACACATGTAGTTAAGTGTAAGCCACTAGTTAGAGACAAAGTAACCCACTAGTTAGCCACACATACTATCTCACTAGTACCCACACACACCATGCCACTTGTTAGCCACATACTTAACTCACTATTTAGCGACACATATGAAGTCACTAGTTAGACAAACACCTAAATCAATAGTCAGCCCCACACCTATGTCACTAGTTAGCCACAAAAACTAAGCCACAAGTCCATCACACAAATAAAGCAGTACTTAGCCCCACACACTAAGACAGTAGTTAATCATACACCTAAGTTAATATTTAGCTACATCCCTAAGCAGTAATTAACCACATTGACTAAGTCACTAGTTAGCCACAAAGCTAGGTTACTAGTTAGCCACAGTCTCTATGTCTCTAGTTAGTTACACACAATATATCACTACTTACCCACCCATACTAAGTCAGTAGTCAGCCACACATCTAATTTACTAGCTAGTCACAAACACCAAGAAAATAGTCAGCCACACACACACTGAGATAGTAGTTAGCCATGCACCTATGTATTTCTATGTATTTAGTCAACTACACACCTAAGTTACTAGTTAGCTACCAACACTAGGTCACTAGTTATCCACACACATTAAATCAGTAGTTAGACACACACACTATGTCACTAGTTAGACACATACTAAGTCTGTCTAAAAGAAAAACAGCTCACACTAAGGTGGTCCCAGGACATGGGAATCAGGCCTTTATTCCCAGCAGCAGGGATTTGGAGATAGGAGTGACATGGCTGGACAGAGAGAGGAAGATAAGGTAGAGGAGCGAGTAGAGCATGCTGTGAGATGATTTTGTTTGAGAAGTTAGTCTGAGGGATTGAAGCGATAGCAGTCAATCTGAGTAGGCAGTGTGAGGACAGGAACACATCGCTTGTCTGAGAATAGGTAGAGATAACAACTCTAGTAGCCAGATACTCTGAATCTGTGATCCTTCAATTTTCACCTTCCCCTCCCTGTCAGATTACTGTGAGTTTTTATTATTAAGATCTATTAGAACTTGTGCTGGAAGTGATGTTCTCTCTGTGGAGGTGTGATATTTCAAAGTCAATAGAGGTAAAAATTTTCAATTATTAAAATATTAACTTTATTTTTTTTGAAAATTACATTGGTATCTTTTTAATGTTTTTAATTTGTAATTTTTTTATTATACTTATCAAACCAGTTCCCTCCAACTTACTCCCACCCTCCTTCCCGTCCCAACTTCCCAGGCCCCCAGCCACTCTCTCCTCCCATCCAACCAACACTATACACGTAGGTGGATGCCTTCCAGGAGGGGTCATCTAAATCCTTCAAGTCATTTTAAGTAGACACTAAAATGTCTCTCCTGTCTCAGGGTTAATGGAGTATCCCTCCATAGGGATTTTCCCCCAATGTCCTTTTTGCAACAGGGATACTTCCTGGTCCCTCTCTCTGAAGACCCTTAGACTGCACAGGCCTTTTAGCTGACACCCATGTTCAGGGGTCTGTGTCAGTCCCATGTTTGATTCCCAGCTATAAGTCTGGAGCCCCATTAGCTCCTCCTTGTTCAAATCAGCTGTGTCTTTGGGTTTCTGCAATGTGGTCTTGTCCTCCCTCTCCGCATATGGATTCAATTTTGGCTCAGTGTTTAGTTGTCCAAGGTTGCTTCTGTTTCCATCAGCTACTAGATGTGGTCTCCATGATGGTGCATAGGTTAGTCATTGATCTCATTGCCAGCGAAGGGAATTTATGGTAGCCTTTACACTGTTGCTCAAATTGTTAGTTGGGGTCATTCTTGTAGGGCTCTGTACATTTCTCTAGGTTCTGTTTCCT